TTTAAGAGTTAAAAATAAGTATAAACAGTGCCTCAGAAGCATTCCCTGGAAAACTAGATCAGGTGATCTTAGTGGATTTCATTCATAGATAAATTGACTTTTGGTTTTGATTAGATGACATATACAGTATGAATTTTATAAGTTAATATTTGTTTGGCTGGATTGGACAGTATTTTGAATAGAGTAGGCAGTTTCCCTATAAGAACAAGGTCGGGCACTTGTGAGGTATTTGAAAAAAAAATGAGTGCAATATGAGGGACACTTTGCCTGCTAGCCCAGAGAACAGAAGAGCCCGCAAATGTAAATTCCTTAATGGTCAAAACTTGATTTTTACATCACCATTTCAGAAAGCAAGCCTTACTCTTGAAGGTATAATATTAGCACTTTTTGGGGTACTGAATGCCTCATGAAATTGCTGAATGAGCTTCAGAGCCTTTCAGTCTGTAGGTCTCTTATTTGAATCCAGCCTAATTCAACAGGAAGCTGCTTCCATTTGATGGATGTCTACTTCTGCCTTTATTTATGAGCTTGAAGGGTCTTGGTTCCAATTCCCACATCAGAAACTTGCTGTGCTATGCATTGAGAGAACATGAAAACTGTCATACCCTTATTTCCTCCTGGAAGAATTCCCTGCACTCTCTCCATGCTAAGCCTAAGCCGCACTGGCAGGACTGTGAGTGTGGGAGGGTTGTTTCTGTTGTCAGTGTACACTGAGTCAGTAGTTCTGAGTGCTTCCATCAGCATTAGATTCAAAGAACTTTTTTAAAGTGGAAGTTTATGATTAAATGCAAATAGCTAATAAAACCCTCTGCAGTAAACAATGAATTCTGCGTCCCTTACCAGCCATTAGTCAGTGCTGTCACGGTGTCCTCTATTAGTTGTTTTTCCTCTTCTGCTGGAAGCAGAAGCAAATTGTTGCATCACAAGGGCTTCAGAAGGTGCCACTACTTCCCCTCTCCTCTGACTTCCTCTTCATCTCCAAGCTGCTTGACGAGAGAGCCCTGCATGGGATAAAGCAAAAGTGCATGAATCTAAAGGAGGCTTCTTGGCTGCGTGATCTCATCCCAGCGGGAAGCATTTTTTCCTGAAGTACAGGATGCAGATTTTGTTTTGATTGGGCTCTTTTCTTTTTTGGGGATGGAAAGATGGTGCAGTGGCTTTGGCACAAATGTGTCTGTAAAACTAATTAGTTTCTCTGCACCCGCTGTGACTTTTTTGGTGACAATATTTGTATTCGTTTAATATTGTCACTTGCCAGTTGCAATATGATATACCCCTTATCTTCTTTGAAACTCTTAGCCTTTGATTCTTTCTAACAGTACAAATGCTGATGGTAAGAACTGCTATAGCCCATTACCGGTATAAATAAACCGGTAGAGAGGATTGAGTAGTAGGGCTAGATCCTTACCAGTGTTACACCAATAACTGCATTGGAGTTTACTGGTTTAATCTCCCTTCCATTGAATATACAGCCTCACAAGATCTTATGAACTAGATTTGTCTGTATCAAACTTCAGTCAGATGTATTGGTGGCATTCTTAGTATGGTTATCTATTCCTATTGAGTCATCTGTGCCCTTCACTCTTGCTGTCCCTTCTGTCCCCAAAAACCATACTCTTCATGTTCCTTGAATAGCTGGGTAGATACATGGTTGGATTTTTCAGAAGGTCTCAGATTCGGCCCAACTATACTCCCTCTTTTTTCACCTTAAACTCAAGCCATTCCTTGTTAATATTTTCCATGCTGTGTATGGTAACATAAGCTACAGTGGCTGGGTAGTTATGATACTCAACTACAATCCTGAAGTTTGTGGGTTCAAGTCTCCCACCTCCCATTCATCCTGTTGCAAAATGGATACCAGATCTATTGTTAGGGCAGTGAAAGATGGCCTGCTGTAATGCTGGCCTCATCACTTCCTTGTGTATCATTGGCTGTGAGATGGCTTAAACCTGTCAGCCCAATAAACCATTGGCTTGGATGGTTTGATTTTAATCATAAAATACTAGGACTGGAAGGAACCTCGAGAGGTCATCGAGTCTAGTCCCCTGCATACTAGCCTCATCAGGTTTTTATATACTGGTTACACACTGCAGTGTTCATAGTCTTCTAATGTAAAATGAACCACTCAAAAGATTGCCTGTGAGAATATAAAGATAGGTTTGCACTGCATATGCATTAATTATGTGGTCACATACTGGTTTTCCTCAGGACTAATGCTTCATTCAGAGGTCAGATGGTTGCTCATAAGAGCTCTTCCTCACTTGTTGCAGAAGTTGGAAGGTGTATATCAGGCAGGGGATTTCAGGCAGAGAAAGAATGGTCTCAAATTTAAGGAAGTTGAAATTTTCTTGGTAAAGTGGATTTGATCCCTGCTTCTCCAGAAGAATTCCTGAATGATGCTAAGTAAGATGCTTTAACCCAACTTCTCCTATGTGGTCACTTACTGTGTTCTCATTTTCTGTATCCCCAGCTTGGTACCTGGGATCTAATCAGCAGAAATATTGATTACACACAGCTGCAGCTGAAGGCTATGACCATATAAATTGCTATGTTAATGCCAAGTATCTGACAGATCAGATTCTGTGTCTCAAAAAGAGTGCCTGTTGAATTAGTGGACACTTTTTATCTTATTTTTTCCATGCTTCAGTTTCCCATTTATGAATAATATCCCCACGTCACATTGATGTGACTAAGTTAGTATTTATGAAGCACTCAGATACTATAGTGATAAGCACCATAGAAAAGGCCACAAGGAAATTAAAATTCTGCCCTCCGAGCAGTATTTGAATACTGTGCTATAAGTCCTGGAGTGACACCAATGAACAATGAGGTTAAAATAAAATATTTAATAAGTTACTCCATCTATTCTTTGACTAACTTAGAGGTCCTTTGGAAAAAATAATGTGTAATTAAAGACTATCATAATGCACATGTGCAAGGGGGCTGGATTCAGGTTAGCCAAGCAATCTTAAGTCTGACATTTCCTAACTTATGTGTTTGATTATGTAATGTTAATGTAGATTTTTGTGTGCAATTTCCTGTCTTAAAAAAAAAAAAAAAAAAAAAAAAAAACCTCCATGTGGAATCATAGACATGGTTTGGCTGCAGGATTGGAACCTTTAAATCCATAGCTTAGCCTCTGGCACTTGAGTTGGTGGAGTAACTGATAACAATACTAAGTTGTCATCCTCTGTAGTTACTAAAGTGAGGACAAGATATAGTTTAGGAGATCTCCAGGTCATCCAGTCTCACCTGTGTATTACAGCCTACTAAACACCATCCAGCCACCCCCACACCAGATTCATCAGGCAGAACTAAATCAACGTATTTAGCCCTCATACACTTTGCCAGTGGGCTCAAACATTGGCTGACACTAAAGGAATGGGCAACATTTGGTTCCATTTCAGATTGTGAGGAGGAAAGTTCTCTAGTAGTCGGATACGTCTGCACCTGTTTCATCCTCTAATTGGGAAGCTTGACCTGTTGTTACATGTATTGTTCCTTCTCTCTGCATGAACACTTCAGTCTTCAGGGCTGTCCTCCATGCACCTTCTTGCTAACAGTAAAATTCATACTTTAGAAAATGTGTTCAGGCTGCTCAAATTTCTGCTTTCTTGTCTCTCCCAACAGACTAGTTCTTCACCACATTCGGGGCTGCCAAAACAAGTCAGGATCAAAACTTCCCAATCTGTGGGGGATGTGAACACAGCCTACCAACCACCAGAGCCCAGAAATAGGCACCTGTCTGTCAGTGAGTATTTCTCTGCATTTTCCAAACATCTTCATCTTCTTGACCAAGTGTAACCATTGGGCATTAGTATTCATACTATCAGAGGAGATAATTGACTCATCCTAGAAATATTTCTAGGGCAAAAGAATTTATCAAAAGCCCCTTGTTTTTGTGATATAATAATAAGGAATATTGATGTGATCCGTTGAACAGCTTAAGAGTTGCTAAGTGGAGTATCCTAGAGATTCATTGAGGTTAGAGGTTTGCAAAGGCCATATTTAGTCCATTAAACTTTTCTATTTAGATTGGCATTTTTGTCCACAAAACTAACAAGAAATGCATCTTGGGTTGTGGCATCTAGCAACCACCTTTATTAAAGTTTTACTTAGGATCATAGAATCATATAGAATCATAGAATAATAGGACTGGAAGGGACCTCGAGAGGTCATCGAGTCCAGCCCCCCACCCTCAAGGCAGGACCAAGCTCCGTCTACACCATCCCTGACAGATGTCTATCTAACCTGTTCTTAAATATCTCCAGAGAGGGAGATTCCACCACCTCCCTTGGCAATTTATTCCAATATTTGACCACCCTGACAGTTAGGAATTTTTTCCTAATGTCCAATCTAAACCTCCCCTGCTGCACTTTAAGCCCATTACTCCTTGTCCTGTCCTCAGAAACCAAGAGGAACAAATTTTCTCCTTCCTCCTTGTGACACCCTTTTAGATATTTGAAAACCGCTATCATGTCCCCCCTTAATCTTCTTTTTTCCAAACTAAACAAGCCCAGTTCATGAAGCCTGGCTTCATAGGTCATGTTCTCTAAACCTTTAATCATTCTTGTTGCTCTTCTCTGTACCCTTTCCAATTTCTCCACATCTTTCTTGAAATGTGGCGCCCAGAACTGGACACAGTACTCCAGCTGAGGCCTAACTAGTGCAGAGTAGAGCGGCAGAATGACTTCACGAGTTTTGCTTACAACACACCTGTTGATACAACCTAGAATCATATTTGCTTTTTTTGCAACAGCATCACACTGTTGACTCATATTCAACTTGTGGTCCACTATGACCCCTAGATCCCTTTCTGCCATGCTCCTTCCTAGACAGTCGCTTCCCATCTTGTATGTATGGAACTGATTGTTCCTTCCTAAGTGGAGCACTTTGCATTTCTCTTTATTAAACCTCATCCTGTTTACCTCTGACCATTTCTCTAACTTGCTAAGGTCATTTTGAATTATGTCCCTATCCTCCAAAGAAGTTGCAACCCCACCCAGTTTGGTATCATCTGCAAACTTAATAAGCGTACTCTCTATCCCAATATCTACATCATTGATGAAGATGTTGAACAGTATGGGTCCCAAAACAGACCCTTGAGGAACTCCACTTGTTATCCCTTTCCAGCAGGATTTAGAACCGTTAACAACAACTCTCTGACTACGGTTATCCAGCCAATTATGCACCCACCTTATCGTGGCCCTATCTAAGTTATATTTGCCTAGTTTATCAATAAGAATATCATGCGAGACCGTATCAAATGCCTTACTAAAGTCTAGGTATATGACATCCACCGCTTCTCCCTTATCCACAAGGCTCGTTATCTTATCAAAGAAAGCTATCAGATTAGTTTGGCATGACTTGTTCTTCACAAACCCATGCTGGCTATTCCCTATCACTTTATTACCTTCCAAGTGTTTGCATATGATTTCCTTAATTACCTGCTCCATTATCTTCCCTGGGACAGACGTTAAACTGACCGGTCTGTAGTTTCCTGGGTTGTTCTTATTCCCCTTTTTATAGATGGGCACAATATTTGCCCTTTTCCAGTCTTCTGGAATCTCCCCTGTCTGCCATGATTTTTCAAAGATCATAGCTAAAGGCTCAGATACCTCCTCTATCAGCTCCTTGAGTATCCTGGGATGCATTTCATCAGGACCTGGTGACTTGCTGACATCTAACTTTCCTAAGTGATTTTTAACTTGTTCTTTGTGTATCCTATCTTCTAAACTTACCCTCTCTCTGCTTGTATTCACTACGTTAGGCACACCTCCAGACTTCTCGGTGAAGACCGAAACAAAGAAGTCATTGAGCATCTCCGCCATTTCCAAGTTCCCTGTTACTGCTTCTCCCTCCTCGCTAAGCAGTGGGCCTACCCTGTCCTTGGTCTTCCTCTTGCTTTTAATGTATTTATAAAAGGTCTTCTTGTTTCCCTTTATGCCTGTAGCTAGTTTGATCTCATTTTGTGCCTTTGCCTTTCTAATCTTGCCCCTGCATTCCCGTGTTGCTTGCCTATATTCATCCTTTGTTAGTTGTCCTAGTTTCCATTTTTTATATGACTCCTTTTTTATTTTGAGATCGTGCAAGATCTCCTTGTTAAGCCAAGCTGGTCTTTTGCCATATTTTCTATCTTTCCTACACAGCGGAATTGTTTGCTTTTGGGCCCTTAACAACGTCCCTTTGAAATACTTCCAACTCTCCTCAGTTGTTTTTCCCTTCAGTCTTGCTTCCCATGGGACCTTACCTACAAGTTCTCTGAGCTTATCAAAATCTGCCTTCCTGAAATCCATTACCTCAATTGTGCTGGTCTCCCTTCTACCTTTCCTTAAGATCATGAACTCTATTATTTCATGATCACTGTCCCCTATACTGTCTTCCACTTTCAAGTTCTCAACTAGTTCCTCCCTATTTGTTAAAACCAAATCCAGAACAGCTTCTCCTCTGGTAGCTTTTTCAACCTTCTGAAACAGAAAGTTGTCTCCAATGCAGTCCAGAAACTTATTGGATAGCCTGTGCCTCGCTGTGTTAGTTTCCCAACATATGTCTGGATAGTTGAAGTCTCCCATCACCACCAAATCTTGGGCTTTGGATAGTTTTGTTAATTGTTTAAAAAAGGCCTCATCCACCTCTTCCACCTGGCTAGGTGGCCTGTAGTAGACTCCTAGCATGATATCACCCTCGTTTTTTACCCCTTTTAGCTTAACCCAGAGACTCTCTACACAGCTATCTCCTACGTTCATCTCCACTTCAGTCCAAGTGTGTACATTTTTAATATACAAGGCAACCCCTCCTCCCTTTTTTCCCTGTCTAGGAGCTGCCATAGCAAATCAGACAATATTCTGATATCTCTGATAATGGTTAGTATCCGATGATCAGGCTAAGGGTAAATACAATGGGTAGCTAGGGTCTGCCCCACTCGAAACAATGAGAAAATCAAACTAAACAAATGTACCTTCATTCCACTTCTGTGAACTATTCATAGCTGCTATTCTAATGATTTCATGTTCCAGTTGAAAGATCTTTGTAAGGGCTGCTGACTGTAGCAGGCATACACTTTTCTGTAATGAGTTCCAAAGCAGCTGCATTTCACTTAGCAGTAGGCCAGCCATAACAGAGCACTGAAGGTCACTTCAGTAATGAAAATTTAATTCTTGTGAGATGTTGCGTATCAACTTGCATTCATTCATCTTCAGTTTTGGGTGCTTGGTACTTCACAGGAAGTTCTTGCTATGCAGACCCTTACCTATACACACATTCACCTGGCATGCAAGAAGGGGTGTGGGGTCTGGGAGGGAGTTTGGGTGAAGGAGGGGGTTGTGACCTGGGGCAGGAGACTAGGGTGCAGGAGGAGGGGCACAAGGTGTGGGAGGCCAGGAGAGAATTCTGACCTAAAGGTGGAGTCTGGGAGGTGTTGCAGGGTCTGGGTTGTGAGCAGGGGCAGGAGTGTAGATGGGGAACACAGGGTTGGGAGGGAGAGACTTGGTTTGCAGGAGCAGACTCTGGCCAGAAGGTATTAACCTAGGTGGCTTCCAGCCAGCAACCTATCTGGTCTCTTAGGCAGGCTCCCTGCGTTCCAAGTCTCTGAATGCTGCTCAGTGGATGGCTGCAGGGGCCATGTGCTTCTCGGAGTGCTGCAAGCTCACAAGGGAGATATGTCCTATGTTGATTGCACCACAAACACAGCTCAGGCAGCACCCATTGGCCGGCCCCTGCAGCGGGGCAGGCAAGGATCCTGCCTGAGGTACCCACTGGAGCATGGGCCAGATCCATCGTGGTGGGCCAGATGCACTCTGCAGGATTTTGTCCACCTCAATCTAGACTATTCTTACCAAGCATCTGTGATGAGGTTTCCACATCTTCCCCAGAGCTTAACTGTTTTTGTTTTGATTTATTTTTGCCCAATATCTAACCTAAATATCCCCTGCAGCAGTGAAGCCAATTACTTTTTATTGTACCTTTCTGTAGACACGGGGAAAAATTATCTTTTTAACAGCCCTTAACGTAATTGAAGATTGTAATCAGGTCCCCCTTGATAGTCTCTCAAGACTACACATGCTGTTTTTCATACTGTTCCTCATAATTTAGATTTTTCTAAATCTTTTCTCTCTTTCTTCTCTACACTCTCTAATGTATTCACATCTTCTGTAAAGTGGTGCTCAGCACTGGACACACTACTACTGCTGAGACCTCACCAGTTTGTAGTAGAGTAGAACAACTACCTTCCATGTTTTCATTGTGACACTTTTGTTAATACACCCCAGAGTATTTGCTTTTTTGCACCTACATCACATTGATGTCTCATTCAGTTTGCGACCCCTTGCAAGCCCCCAGATTCTTTTCAGCAGCCCTGTTGCCTAGCTAGTTAATCCCCATTTTGTGTCTATATATTTGATTTTTTTTTTCTTTCCCAAGTGAAGTCCTTTGCACTTGTCTTGATTGAATTTCACCTTGTTGATTTCAGTCCAAATATAAGGTCAATGAAGCGCCTTTGTAGCCTTGGACAAATTGCTTACCTCTCTGCCTTATTCTTTAATTTCACCATTTGCAAACAGGGAGGATCTTCTCAGTTCAGTGTTCACGAATTATAAAGCTAGAAGAGACCATTGTGGTAATCTAGGAAGAATGTTTATAAAACACTGGGATTAAAACAATGAAAATCACTGGAGCAGGGGCTGTCTGTCTGGGATTTGTGAATGTTGTAAAGGTTTGCAACCACCCTGCTTGGGTTAGCTGTGGGTTTTTTTAACACCTCTGTGGAGTGTTTGAACAAAAGCAACTATTTGTTTTAGTGAAAAAAGACACTAGAAATTAACACAGTATCTAGGACTGAGGGCCCAAGCAACTTGTGTAGCATGTGTAGCTGCAACCGGAACAAAAAGGGCATTCTCTGGGTTTTCTTTCTGTGCATGTTAACTTTAAAATAGGGCAGCAGTCTAGTTCTGTAGAGGAAGTGTAGTAGCCATGCTTCGCTGAGTGTGATGGTTTTTTTTTTTTTTTTCAAAAGACAGACTCAAGTTTCAAAAAGCTTAGACAGACAACCCCCTTTTCCTTCTTTATGGCATCCTGAAGATTCACTACTTTTACTTTCTTTTCAGACCACATCAAGGTGGCTAGCAGGCACCTCATTTGTAGCCCAGAAATAAATGTGGAGAAGACTCTATTTCTGTCACTGATGTACTTAGCCTGTAGATCAGACTAGATCTCTGGAATGTGGCTTCTCCCCTCCCCATCCTCTCCTTTAATTTGTGTTGCGAAATGTAACTCGGTTTCCTGGAGGATTTCAAGCTTTGCTTTTAGCCTCCTCTCTACATTTGGCATAATACAGAGCAATGTTCTGTTGTGATGGTTTAGCTGTGCAAAATACACCTGTGTAGGTACCCATCAAATAAAACTAAGCAGGTTGCCTAAAGCCTGCTATGCAATTGAGGTTTCTGGAGTAAAGATAAGATTTGTAAAAACAAAAAACAAAACTGAAAATGGAGCTAAGCGCTGTCTGGCAGCACTTGTGTTTTTTTCCACTCACTTCCTTTGATATACATTGATTTAGAGCCGACTTCCTTTTCCTGCCCAGTGATGGTGACCTTTCCACAATAGCAGCTGGCATGAAGCCAGTGGGACGCAAGCTCCCTTCATCAAGCCAGGACATTGTATCGGAAAAAGTGAAAGTGTGTTGTCCTGACTCCGCCCACCTATGGAGCATGCTCTCCTGTTTATCTGGGTTCTGATTGGCTTCTGACCCCTGTAGATTTGTTTGGAAAATAAGGCAGTAATTGTTTTTAAAAAAACAGATGTAAATTGTAGCACATACTCAGACACCCAATACATTCCAAGTTATCCCAAGGCATAAATTTTCCATTCCAGAGCTGTCCAAAGAAAACTCACTTTAATTTCAGTTTACTATCGCAAGTGTAATAAACTAGAGAAACAGAGTAGTAATAGTAGTATGAAATAATGTCATTAGGAATGCATTTGCCAGTTATGTGCTGTTGTAGCAGCTGGGCATATTGCATAGGTTAAAGACAGCACCATATAAGAGCACAAGTCTAGGAGTCTTATCTTCCCAGTTCTGCTGCTGACTTTGTCACCTTAGTTAAGTCACCTTGGTCTTGATATTTTCTTCTAAAGGTCCTGAGCACTTATACCTTGAGTCAATGGGGAGCTGTAAGTACTTAGCCTAGCCTTTCTGGTAATCAGGTTCTTACCCTAGTTTTGCATGTTTTCCCCCCTCTGAAGTTAATCTGTATCCTCAATGAAATACTGAGATGCTCAGAAAGAAGAATACTAGAGCTTAAGCTATCCTCAGTAGGCAGTGCACACTGCACACACATACATTCTAATCAAACATCTGTTTGACCAGAAACCTCTTACAGTAAGTACCACAATGTCTTAATGTTCAGGTAAAATGTGGCATGCTCTTAATTTTTCCATAGAAATTGTTCTCCTGGCCTGTAGTCATTGACCTGTTCAGGTTGCTTAAGACTAAACTGTTAATCTTTGCAGTGCAGTCTTCAAGCTATTTATACAGTACCAATCTCACATGGCAGGGAGGAGATTGCTGGATGGGCTTACTAATGCAACCCAACATTGCTGCAGGTCTCCCAGAAAGTGTATTTAATGAAACACTAAATGTTTTAATATTTAGCACGTGTGATGCTAGTAGGCCTGCATGATGCCATTACTCAAATGAAATGGTGCTCTATTTTGCATGTAGTAATTAATAAGGGTCCTGACAGGAATGTTTTTGCATAGGCAGGAGCTGGTCAGGAAGCAAGGGATAATGCTTCCATTACTTGTTCAGGGTAGCAAGGAGACTCTCTGCCTTCGAATGCTCTGTACTCTCCAGCAAGCACTGAGATTAGAAGCTGCACCTAGTCTCAAGTAGTCTGTCTCAAGAAGAGGAGGACAGGATTGATAGCTGTGCTTTGTTGGGAATCTGGAGCCTCACAAGTGACCCTGCCGTGGTTTTTAAATAGCAGTCTTTCTGTTGAATGATTAATTTGTTAGCACTGCAGCCATGTAGCACCTCTGAGTTCAGTCTCTGTGCATCCGTTACATTAGCTCCAGAATTGCTCTCCCCACCGGGAATGGTCCAGAATTCTTGACTTCCTGTTCTTGGCTTCCTTGTTTATCTTTATTTATGTGCACACAATCTCTCAGCAAGCATCTGGATAATAAACCTTCCTCTGTATCTGTGAACCAGGTTCTCAGAACACAGGCCGAAGCTCACCTCCCCCTGGGTATGTTCCAGAGAGGCAACAGCGAATTGCTCGCCAGGGTTCTTACACCAGCATAAACAGCGAGGGCGAGTTTATCCCAGAGACCAATGAACAGTGTGTGAGTATAAACGTGTGGAGAATGGGGAATAAATCCCACATTGCTGGCACTTTCTTGCGCCTGTCTTTGTCCTAGAATAGTCACAGCAAACAACCACTGCTTGCTTGCTTCCGTTCAACTATGCATCTATAAATGTTGTTTATGTACCTCTCCTGAGCAGCCCTAGAAACCCTCTGCTGCACTGCCAACAGCAATCGCTATGCATGAACTGGTCAGGTTCATCACTATCAGTGAGCTCTTTTCTGTGCATGCTTGACACAGATACTCTGGGTCACCATCCCCTGGTTCTATCATCTTTTACTCCTTTGAGCAGATGCTCAAACACATCAGGTAGTAGGACCACAGTGCCTCTTGTAACTAGAGAGGTCAGTTAGGGAACGGAATCTCTGCTGCTGCTGCTGGAGTCAAATGGAGCACTCGGATATGAACTTGCAGTGGCACTTTACATTGGCAAAGCTGGGGAGTGGGACACCCCTATATTCTGTGGAAGCTACTGGCTTCCAGTATGATGCACTTTTCCTTCCTCAAATATGCAAACACAGGCTGTAGGACTTTAACCATATTGTGCATGTCAGGACACTCCATTATCTAAAATAACACAGTGGCTCCAAACTGGTGCAACCATAATTCTAACCAGCCCCTAACGGGTGTAATTTGTAAATAGTTCCCTTCCCCTTCTGGATTTGCCCCAGTCACTCACTCTGGATAAGCAACGGTGACTGTCTGCATCCTTCTATGCAGCATCTTACTGTGGGAACATCAACTCAGTTTCCTATTTGCAGTTTATTACCTTGTTTTACAGATGTTGGATCCTCTAAGCAGTGCTGAAAATTCCATATCAGGAAGCTGTCAGTCCTTGGATAGATCGGCAGACAGGTACAGACTGATAAGAGCTTTCCTGATCAGATTGTGATGAGATTGTGTAAAGATCAATTTATTTTTACTTGGAGATAAGAAGATCATATTTCTGCATAATTCCCAATACTCTCTCTAGAGATTTAACTATATCTTAAGGTGGTTCTGTTTTCTGGCAAAATCCTAAACCAATCAAGTGGGACTTAAGTAGTTTGTTTAAAATACCACCTTTCAAAGCATGCAGATTGTGTGGGATCTGGACTGTCAGAACATTGACTACATGACATTGAAATCTGACAAGACGCTACTTTCAAAAAATACACACTCAAATAGTGATGATATGGGGCATGTCATTACATTAGACCCTTAATTTATAAATTGTATCCTTTATTTCAAAGGGAATTGAGGGATTTCTCTCCCTTCCCCTCTCTAATCCTAACCGTGCTGGCAATAGAGGGGCATGGCTGCTCCTGGGATGGTGGGGGAGGGTCACCAGGATCTAGGAAGACTAAATAAGAAATCTTCCTAGGGAATCTGAAAGGTGGGTCAGCCTCACTCCAGCTGCGTAAGAGAGATGGGTGTGAGAAGCTTGGTTTTATGGCCGAGGTTTGTGTAACCACCTTCCTTAACCTCTTGGAAGACTTTGAAAAAGGTTTCTGCAATTGCTGTCAATGAAGATGCTATTCTTCAGCGTAGTCCAAGAATTCCACATGTTGGGGAAGAGTAAGAGGGAGACTCAAAATATGCTGTTCACTATGTTCCTTGGCAAGGTGGCTGCTTTAAGTTATATAGAGAGAAGTGTATGTTGACCTGCACAAGTAGGAGAACTGTCTAGGCGCAAAAGCTGGACCCTCAGAAGTGATGGCACATGTTGGAAGATTAAACCTGGCTAACTTGGGTTAAGCCTGGTCTTAATTTTCACATCACATATGTACAGAATAAATCACTCCAGCATCAATCATATTGCTGTGTAGTATCTTGTCTTTCTGTTGCTTATGGGCCCAGAGTTTTGAGAATTGCACTTACCCATTTGGAGCTGAATTAACTTCCTTTGCATTCCTTGCACTGGCCACTGCTATCTGTCTGAAATGGCTTGTGCTCTTCTTTAAATAGCCCTTCTTTTCGGAAATCACGGATGTCCAGAGCGCAAAGTTTCCCCGACAACCGACAGGAATTCTCAGGTATGTCAGCATCCAGTATAAAAAGCATCTGTTGTAGATATTAATACCGGTTTTCACTTTAATACCTGCACAAACACATTAGCTACACTAGAGACTCACTCCTTATTTTCTGTTGTTTTTGGTGACTATCCCCCTTATTTATTGGGTACATCTAGAGAACTTAAATCTAGCTATGCATTTACTGCCTTTTCTTGTTAAGTCTGCTGGTGGTAGAATGTGCTGCTATAAGAACTTGTGTACATTGCATAAGGAGTCTCACTCTCAGCTCCTTCTTGTTCTCAGATCGTGAGAATCAAATCTATGACAAAGCAGGGAAAGGGGGGACATACCCTCGGCGCTACCATGTCTCCATGCAACACAAAGATTACAGCGACGGTGAGTATGTTTCAACCTTTTGGGTTGAAATTGGAGTTGAAGGAGGCAGCAGCTCCATAAGTGAAAAGCATCTTTAGGTGGGTAGGAAAGCAAATAGGGCACAAATGTAACTCCTCTACTTGGAGAGAGACACTACACACAGCTTCCTTGTGCACACGTCGCGCCTTGCATGATGGCGGTAATTCAAGATGAATGCTGACATGTGTGGACCAGGTTCCCCTCTTATTGCGGGTTTACCA